TTCTTCTCTGCCATCTTAAACAAAACTCCTCTAACTGAGTGTTCCTTCCTTCTACTTCCTGTGTGTCTCTATCTTCATCCTCCTGTTTTCTTCTTAATCATCCTATGTCCTCTTCCTGTCAACTGGTTGCTTGCTCTGTCTCTTGACCTATTGTTGACTTTATTTAATCCGGTTTACAATATTCAAGCAGAAAGCTCTTGGATTAAAGGTCTGTGCTAGGACTGAGCCACACCATGACTAGAAACAGGTTTTTCCCAGTAAATATCACAATATCGGGGTTCATAGTGTGATCAAATATCCTGAAACACACACACACACACACACACACACACACACACACACACACACACACACACACACACACCCCTACACACCCCTACACAAGTTTTTAAATTTTGTTTTTGTGAGCTTGTGAGAGTGGGTGGGGAGGGGGAGTTCAGGAGACCAGAGGAAGATGTTGGGTGTCCTCTTGTGTCACTCTGCTTATTCCCTTGAGGCTCAGTGATCTTCCTGTTTCCTCCTCACGGCACCAGGGTTAGGTTGTGCGTGGCCCCTGTCTTTTTCCATGGATGCTGGACTCGGAGCTCAGGTCCTCCTCACGCCTGTGCAGCCATGCTCGTACTAACTGAAACTCGTCAAGAGTCCCTCTTCTCGTCTTACTGCTCATAGTCGCCCATAAACCAGACGTCCATTTCATCTTTCCTCCTCCATGATCCCCACTCTTCCCTTCTCTTTCCAGCAGCCCTGGGAACTGAATGCAGGGCTTCACATAGGCTAGGCAAGTGCTCTAAGCCGTGCTCCTGGATCTTTTGAAGATTTTTGCTTTAGACAGTACTGTTAACTTACATCTTGACCCCATAATTGTTTTGTAGCCCAGGCAGGTCTTGAACTTGGGTTCTTCCTGCTTCTGTTTCCTGAGCACCTGAACCTGTGCCTAGTACTCTTTCTCTTAATCTTTTTTGTCCCCTTATTAAATGGGGCTATTGGATGGAGAGCTAGATGTGCAAGCTTGAGGTTAGAAAAGGACTCACTTCAGTGCAGCTGGCATTGCTTATGGACTGCATTGTATTCTCTTAGCTCACCCTTGACTTTTAGCTTCAGGCATGGGAATTGGTACTATGAAGAATTAGGCTTACCTGAGGCTGGACGGTCTCCAACAGTCTTCCTTTTTTGCCTCCATGACTTCTTAGCTGTGGGAGGTCTAGATTAGAGAGCAAGGCATTGGTGGTAAGGAAGAGGTTAAGTCCCTAGATGCAGCTCTGCTCATGTCTGCCACTAAGAGGAGCAGTGGATAAAAGCTTCTCGTTCATCGTTCATCATCTAGGTAGAGAGTTCTGAGTAACCTTTTGTGTTTTCTCAGCAGGTTGAAGGGAAACAAACTCCTGTTCCATCATATGGAAGACTGTGATAATATATCATTCCTTATATTGGGATTCGCTCTGTCCCTGTCTTACTCTTCTTGCTCCTCCAGCTAGTTTCTCAAACACCTATCTTTAATCATGCCTTAGCCAATTTGAGGGACAAGTTGGAACCCAAAGATAGCATTCACTTATATTGTGTTTATTAGATTTTGAAAATTTTCAATTAAATTACTTTTGACTGCTACACAAAAGCATACAGTTGTACATATTAATGGAATAATATGATATTCTGATGTGGATGCACTATATAATCTTTAAGTCAGGTTAAACATATCCTTCTCCAAACATTTATAATTTCATTAGGGTAAAAACTTTAAAAAATATTTATTCTAGCTTCATGAGTACTTAGAATTTGGAAAATAGATAATACTTCAAAGATTGAAATTGAGTGATTACTCGGGGTAGGTTTGAGTATATGTAAACGAGGAATAAGGTGTATGTTATGTGTTAAGAGGTTGGTTTAAAGAGGATCAACAAGCAAAGAGACTTGGCGTGCCCAGGCGCCGTGACAGAACTAGGTGGGTGGGAAGTTTTCATTGGACTGGCAGGACAGATGGGGCTGAGGTTGGAGGAAGAACAGTTGGGGACTAGAGAGATGGCTTAGTGGCAATGAGTGTTTACTGCTGTTCTAGAGGATGGGAGTTCTGTTCTCAGCATCCACATTGGGCGCTCACAACTGCCTGTAATTCCAGCTACAGGGGATCTGATGCCATCTTTGGACTTCTACAGGCACTCGTATGTACGTACTTATATACATAAACACACACACACACACACACACACACACACACACACACACACACACACACAAATTTAAACAGGAAGAATAAATGAAGACAGTAAACATGGACAGCTTGTTTGAGGGATTTGGCTGTAAAGGGGAGCAGGATAAAGGTCTGATGATAATTGAACACAGGCACTCTTCAAAGAGAGTTATTTTTAAGATGAGAGGCAAAAATATGTCTTGTTTATGTAGCATATGGTCAAACACTTTTTGTCCATTACAGTTTAATCAGTTAATTGATTTAAAGAATGATGCTCAAGCTCAAATTCAGGGTCTTGTAGATGCTAAGCCTAAGCTTTGAACCTGAGCTAATTTCTCCTGGCTCTCTTTTTAAAAGTATTTCCAGTTGTCTCTGTAATGATAGTCTTAATATTATTGCTCATGATTTTAATATAGTCATCTAGTTTTATTCTCATTGACTCTTCCTAAATCATGTTTGATGAATCGTAGAAGTGAAAACAGTTCTTAAATATTACTAACAGAAATAAAGATTAGGAATTACTTTAGCATAGATTTAAACACTCAAAAGTAAAAAAAATTGAAGGCATTTACATAAAGAAGTTAAAATTGCCACAGGATTCTTTTTGTTGTTGTTGTTGTTTTGTTTTTTTTTGAGACAGGATTTCTCTGTGTTAGCTTTGTGCCTTTCCTGGAACTCACTCTAGCCCAGGCTGGCCTCGAACTCACAGAGATCTGCCTGCTTCTGCCTCCCGAGTGCTGGGATTAAAGGCGTGCACCAGCACTGTACGGCACCACAGGATTCTTATTTATGGAGAGGAAAATCCTGTCAAGACTGTATGAGAAGGTGGTGGATTTGAAATAGTGCCATGATTAAACTTCCTTCCTTGTGAATATACATTTGTGATGACATTGGATAAAATGTTTCTTTGCCCGGTTTTTATCAACCTGCTGCTGAAAATCCAGTCAACTCTGTGATAGGAACAGGTGAAATTCACCCACAGACTTTCTTTTCTGTATTGTCCCTCCCTCCCAAGTTTGAACTGTTTTCTTTCTCTACTCCCGTTTCTTCCTTAGGATTGTAGAATACTCTGAATACTCTGACACAACTCCTTACTAACTTTCTCTTTGGGATAGTCAGTATAATGATTGTAGAATGAAAGACTTTGGAAAGTCATTTGAAGGCTTTTGTGCCTTAAATTGTGTCAGTCCTCCTGGATTGAGGTGGAGAATTCCACAGATTCTTCTATTATTCGTCAAGTTTCCTCAGCAGAAGAGTAAGCCAGATAGTATTTCTTCCATTAGAGTATTTTTTCTGTAAATTTGGCTGTTTCATTTATACCGAAAATCTATATGGAGATTTCGACTTCTAATTAGGCTATAGAAAGATACAAAAGAGCTTTAGTTACTAATATTAAGAACAACCCAAAAATATAAATCACAGGTACTAGAAGTAGACGTAGCAGGAATCAGTGGACTGAGCAGCCGGCTGGAGGGCTGGCCTCGTAGGTCAGAGGACTGGCTGCTCTTCCAGACGACCGAGATTGAGCCCAAGCTCTCACGTGGGCTAAGCAAGCTCTTCCTTGAGCAGTGTGCACCCCTCACTCTGCGTGAATTTTAGCCAGCTAGTCGTAGGGTTCCACCCAGGGTTGATGATGATGATGATGATGATGATGATGATGATGATGATGATGATGTTGATGATGTTGTTCTTCTTGTCTTTCTTTTCCTTACTTCTTCCTCCTCCTCCTTCCTCTTCCTCTCCTCTTTCTTGCGCTTCCTCCTCCTTTCTCCTCCTTCCTCTTCTCCTCCTCCTTATCTTTTTCCTCTTCCCCTCCTCCTTCCTCTTCCTTTTTTTCTTCTTCATGACAGGTTTTGCTAGTGCAATCTATGGATGGTTACCCATATCCTGTTTATAAAGTTTATAAGGGGCTGGAGAGATGGCTCAACAGTTAAGAGTGTGTCCTGCTTTTTCAGAGGACCAGGTTCTGTTTATAGCACACACATGGGACAACTTAGGAGCATCTATAACTCCAGTTCTTGGGGATCCAACACCCTCTTGCATCCATGGGCACCTGCATGTATGTGGCACACATAAACTTACTCAGGTGCACACTCTCATATACTCAATAAAAAGTAAGTAAATCAAAAGGGTCTTTCTCATTCTTAAAAACAGAGTTTAGTTGGCTTCCTTTGTCTGGAGTATGTATCTTTAAATGTGATACAGTGACACTCATTGCTTTGTACCACTCAGTTGTGCTCATTTAACTAGAGTTTCCTTCTCTGCCTCCAGGCTCACTTGTCTGTCTTTTGATGCATATTCTCTTCTAGCAACTGGTTGCTGCTGTTGTTTTTTAATATCCTGTTAAATAAAACTGCCTGGTTGTGTTTGGAATGTCCAGTTTTGCCCACCCCCACCCCCTTTTTTTCCTTCTTTGGTCCTAGAAGGTTAAGCAGCCAGGCAAGTATAATCATTGGTTTTAAAAGTCCACTTAGTGTGTGCCAGTGGCCCAGTTGTGTTCTGGAAGTTCTTTTTGGCTGGCCATAGCTGGTGACTTGAATGATTGCCTGTTGTGGTCTTTAGGAGTACTAGGTGTCCTGTCAGTAAAAGGAAAGAGGGAGCAGCAGACCCAGTGTGGTCACGTGTTTGGGGAGGCTTTTGTGCTCTGTGCACTACAACTGATAGGCTGATTTGCTCAGTTGATTATACTTGCAGTTTACAGTGATCAGTGTTTCCAAGTTCAGTTTAGCTTCTGTTGTAAATTAGGAATTAGAGATGTCCCTTAGTTATAAAGATTTTTTTGTTGTTAATTTTGATTTTCTTTTGCTTTTCATAGAATGTTGGCTCAATTAAGAAACATCAGGGAGATAAATTCAACCCAGTGGTAAGTAGATTTATTTCTCTTTTGTTTGTTTGATTTGATTCTTTTCTTTCTTTTTTTTTTTTTTCTTATCCACCTCTGGCTGGCCTGGAACTCACTATGTAAACCAGGCGGGCCTCAACGAGATGTGTCTGCTTCTATGTCCCAAGTGCTGGAATTAAAGACATGAACCACCATGCTTGGCTAGATTTAATTTTGTTAGAAAGTTGTCAGTTTATTATGCTCCTTTTCTGGGTTGACTGCTTTTCTTCCATTGTGATTGGAGGATTCTTAACTCCAGTGTCACCTCTGGTTCATATAGTAGCTTTCCCTAAAATTCTACTTAGCAGTCCATTGATTTGATTGTGCGTCACTTTCTGTTCAGATTGGCTTGGCTGTCTCCGGTGGGTGACTCTCTATTACTAGGTATGGGAAGATCTTGCTTTAGGTAATTTTCCTTTTCCTTTACACTCTCCTCTCAAGGATTAAGGTCCTTTTAGTTTTTCTTTTCAATCACTTAGCAGCTGTCATTCCATACTGTCTTATCTACAGACCTACGTAGAATTCAGATCTATTTTTGTATTGGCTCTGTGGCCACTCAGTTCATTTTGAAGACTAAGACCCTGACGGGATGGCACATGCTTGTTACCCTAACCTCTAAGGCTGAGGCAGGAGCTCACTTGACTTCGAGAGGCCAGCCTGAGCCAGCATGAGACCTTGTCTCAAACAAAACAAAAAAGACAGAAGACTGTCTGAATTTAATCTGATGTTTGAATTGCTCTCTGTGTAGCTTCCTAAAGCAAAGCACACAGTCACTCTTCCCTTCCTGAATTAACTGTCCTGCTGTAATTTTGTATTCATTTGCTTTATGAAGAAAAGTCTTGGGGACTTTCAGTTTAACAGTTACTTTACTCTATAAATTACCTTGTACCTCAGGTGCCTTATATCATATCCAAAACAAATATGCTGTCTTTCTGATTACATACATTATTTCATGCCATTCATTTATTATATTCCTAAATCTTGAATGGTTTCTGGAAATGAAATTTTTAAGCCATATTATTCAAGTTCTTACACATTGTCAATTCTGTGTTCAGACATGTTTGTAAGTATATGGTTTGTGAGAATCATAGTTTGAATCATGGAAGTAGTTCTGTGCAGTTGAACTTTCTGTCATGGTAGAAATGTTCTATAACTGATCCACTTTGGTAACCCTAGTAAGATGTGGCATTTGAACGTTTGAACTAAAATGGAATAAGGAAACGGCATTTTAAATTTTATTTGATTTAATACTAAATTTCAATAGCATATGTATCTGCTGGCTACCATCCTGGACAGAACAAATAGCAGGTTCTTAAATGGCCTAACTCAATATCAATTTAAATGAGAGATTTTATATCTTATTTGGGGGTTTAAACTTTTTTAATTGAACATAATTTCTTTATTGATTCTTTGGGAATTTCAAATTGTGCACCCCAATTCCACTCATTTCCCAGTCTCTCCATATCTGTCCTTCACCCTTGCGGTATCCCCCCGCTAAAAAAATTTTTTTAAAAATTAAAAAAAAAAAAATAAAAAACCACTTTGCTCCTCTTTCTTGCCTTTCCAACACCTCTTTATTCATCTTAGTTGCATTAGAAACCACAGTGTATCGGGCAGTATATTTTTGTTCTATCAGCTTAACTTGTGAATATTCATTTTAATAAGTCACTGGTCTGGTTCAAAGCCTCTGGTTTCTGGTACATCATCATCACTGGACCCTCACCAAAACTCTCCTCAGATATCCCACAGCCTCCCTGAGTCATAGAGATCCCTACAGGTAATTGTTCCACAGGACTGGTTCCTTCACATGCTCCAGTAGGTCATAGATGGGGTAGATGTTAGGGTGGGCCAACCTGAAGCCCTGGATATGGGCCTAAGTGATAGCTGAGCTGGTCAGAAACTGGCTGCTGGGGCCGTCCCCCTCAGGCACAGGGCAAAGCCGACTCTCCTGTGCCCACACCATCAGGGCCAACTTTCCCATGCCCATGGTGAGGATTGGGGCCAGCTCTCCTGTGCGGGGCAGGCCATGAAGGGCAGGGCCAGCTCAGCATGGCCCTGGAATTTCATCATGCATGGTTCTTTTGCCCCCCTTGGTAACATGGGCCGCAGACATCAACACAGATCCTAACTGCCATAGCGACATAGACCCAGACATGGCCCTTGGCAGCAGCTCGGGCTTGGACATCACCGTGGCCCTGGTAGCAGCACAGACCACTCAGATGAGCATGGCTTCAGTGGTAGCATGGCCCTCAGATACTGACAAGGCCACAGGTTGAGGCCCAGACCCTGGGCATCTGTGAGGCCTTTGTGGCAACCTGGGTCACAGATTTCAACACAAATCATGGTTGTGGTGGGACCGCAGACCCAGATATGGTCCTCAGCAGCAGCAAGGCCTGGGTGTCACCATGGCCCCAGGTGGCAGTGCAAGCCACTCAGATCAGCACAGCCCCTCAGACAACAACATAGTCCCAAGTGGTGGCCCAGACCCCCAGGCATCCACATAGTCTTTGATGGTACCAGAAGCTATGGACATCAACACAGACCCTGGCTACTGCTGCAGGGCGACAGAACCAGACATGGCCCTAGCTGGCACTGCAGGCCCACCCAACAAGAACAGCATGGCCCAGAGGTGGCAGGACCCTCAGACACCAACATGGCCACAGATGGCGGCCCAGACCCAGGTATCCGAGAGGCCTTTGGCAACATGGGCCATGGATGTTAGCACAGAACCTGGCTGTAGTAGGACCACGGACCCAGACATGGCCCTTGGCAGCAGCCCAGGCCCAGAGGTCATCATGGCCCCGAGTGGCAAGCAGGCTACCGATACTGTCCTGCTCCTCACAACCTTTGCTTCGTCCATTCTACCTTTTTCCACAGCAAGTGAACCATTCTGCTTCTCTTTCTCTCTCATTTCTCCACCACACATTTGCTCATCATGATGGCACCCTCCCATCTAGCACCACAAGGTGCCAGGCAGGCCCAAGAATATCTTCAGCCAGCCTAGGCCTTGAGGACCAAGACTAGCCTGTGGATGGCTTCCACCTGCCTGAGCCAAGTGGCATCCAGCAGGTCTGTGGATGTGTTCCCACCAGCCAGGATTTAAAAATTTATCGTAATAGTATATAACTGTACGTTTAATCCTCTTTGAGCAGTTAAATTCTTTATTGAATGAACTGTTATTCCTGTTGGTAAAATGTACATATCTGTAAACATAGAATTGTTAGTAAGAATTCAGTACACTTTTTTTGGGGGTGTGTGTATTTCTTTCTAGACATAGATTTTAGATGTAAACCTTCTGGGTGTATGATGCTGGGTTTCTAAACCAGGGTGAGCCTTGCATGGTTGATAAGCAAGCACTTTAATTGTACTGTTCCATCAGCCTCAGGTGAAAACATCTGACACTTGACCTACTAGATTTTCTTTTTTCTTTTCCGAGACAGGGTTTCTCTGTGTAGCTTTGCATCTTTCCTGGATCTCGCTCTGTAGATTAGGCTGACCTTGAACTAAAAATCTTTTTAAGTAAAATCTTTTTAAGTAGTTTTAAGTAGTGTGTAAATAGACCTATTGATACTGGGTTTTGAGGATCTAGTTCAAATGTATATTACATGCTTTTACAAAAATCTACCTTGTGGGTCTTTGTAGTTCTAAAAATGAAACACTAACTACCATGTTAAAGATCTTTAATTTCTGGTGTTGTTTCCTAGTTAAGAAACTCTGTTTCTTTATGGAAGCAATAGGACATTCCCTAGAAAATTGTCATGAAGACAAAGAAAATATTTACATACTTTATCCAAAGAATTTCAGCATAGTGCCTGGTGATTCAGTAAAGTCAGGGTGTGGGAACAAGTGTAGGGACCCTGTCTATGATCAGACATTCAGGTACCATAAAATGGGAAGTAGTGCCTTGTGGAGCCATGTTGGATCCCAAGTCAAGGAAAACATAATTCTGATTATGTTTTGATTTAAACATTGACATTTTATTCATGGATTATTTTTCAGTAATTAAAATATTTAAGATATTTGTCTTACTGAGTTTTCTATACTCTATTGTATTTTGTGCCTGAGAGGTCTTAGTGACTTTACCTCAGGTTGGTGCTGGTTAAAAGTACTGTGTCTGTGCTTCAGGCAAGAATTGTATTTATGGACAGAGAATTGCTTACTAATTGGCAGTCATTCTCATTTTATTAAATTAGTACTCTGCTAGTTTGGAATTTATACACAAGTTCTTTAAAATTGACCTTGTGAGTTTACTAATTCAAAATTGGCTTTTTCTCTCTAACTGAAAGACTGTATTTTAAGTGAGTTTACTCACATGTAATCTTAAACAATTTAGAATCTTTAAGCTCTTTTAAAAACTATAGGCTAGTATTTGATTGAAACAAAATTATACTTGAAGTAGTTGGGTATTTTCATGTAGGAGAATCAGAGTGTCTTAGGGTCTTTATTGCTGTGAAGAGACATCATGACCACAGAAGCTTCATAAAGAAAACATTTAATTGAGGGTGGCTCGCTTACAGTTTCAGAGGTTCAGTCCATTATCATCATGGTGGGGAGCATGGCAGCGTACAGGCAGATATGGTGCTGGACCTGAGAGTGCTATATCTTGCTGGCAACAGGAAGTCGACTGATTGTCACACTGGGGGAAGCTTGAGCAAAAGAGACCTCAGAGCCCGCCCCCCAGCATGATACACTTCCTCCAACAAGGCCACACCTCCTAACAGTGCCACGCCCTTTGGGAGCCATTTTCTTTCAAACCACCACCGTAGGAAAGTTAAACCATAGGAAACTTAAATGGTGATTGATCCCTAATGGATGGTTAAGAAGACCTGAACATGTCTGTGCAGTCATTTCCTATTCAGAAATGCGTATAGTCAAGTTCTTCACTAAGAAACAATTCTTAGAGCCAGAAATTAGAGAGAAATCTTTTATTATGGTTTTTGAGAGTTAAGCAGACTTCTCAAAGCATGGTTTTGTAAAAACATATAAATGGTTACTTCTTGGATTGTTTTGTGAAGCACTGAAGTGCTTGAGTTTAACTTGAAGTCCTAATTTGAAGCCCACTAGATATATAAATGTAGATATTAAAACAGTCTTAAGTAGGCTCCATTGGGTGTATGTGGTGGTCAGGAGGTATTTTGTCTGTAGCATATTGAGTTGTGCTATCTGGATGGTAATTTGTTGGAAAAGTTGTTTGTTATATTGTATACAATTTGATTTGTTTTTATCTACATGCTACAGCTGTTAAAAATGACTACGAAGCGAAGTTTGTTTGTGCGGTTGGTGCCATGTCGCTGTCTACGAGGAGAAGAGGAGACGGTCACTACGCTGGATTATTCTCATTGCAGCTTGGAACAAGTTCCCAAAGAGATTTTCACCTTTGAAAAAACCTTAGAGGAGCTCTATTTAGATGCTAATCAGATCGAAGAGCTCCCCAAGGTATGTTAATACTGTCAAGAATTATGTCTATTATGTCTATTCATAGACATTTACATCCTTATATTCTTGTACATGTGTTGCTATTCATTGATTTAGTCTTACTGTAAGCACAATTCAAAATGATACAGATTTTTAAACCTCTGTTCAAGTTGCTGCAGTACTTGTGTTAATAACTTAAAATTTTATTTTTACTTGAAGCATATTATAACCATCAAAATAGATAATGCATCTATTACAACTTCTGGAGCCATTAAATTTAACTGTCTTATTGTAAATTCTATAAGCCCTTTATATGCAGTGGTATAATTGGGGCTAATTGTCATTTCAGCTACCACATCATGCTTTCATGGGTCTATAAGTTTTAGAGGTGGGATTCTGTTTTCTTCCATTTTGTCTGGAATTGGTTTGGAGAATGTGCATCTCTGAAATCTAATAACAACGGACAGAAAAAGATGGCTGTTGTGGAGTTCTTTCTCAGATTACCACTTTATTAATTTTTTAAGTATGCTCCTAGTTTCCTCTTATTATTTGTATGTTTTCATGTTTTTTGAAAAAGCTGCAGTAGCTTTAAATTGTTTATTAGGGTTTATAGCCATCTGAATGGCTGTTTGTGTTTTTTTTCCGAGACAGGGTCTCACCTTGTAGACTAGACTATCCTCAACTCTCAGAGATCTGTCTACCCTTGCCTTCCAAGGCCTGTGATTGAAGGTGTGCACCACCATGCCCCTTGAAGCTGTAAATGGAGACTTGACATTGGTGGCTTAAAAACCTGGTTAGAGCTGGGCATGTTGATGCCTAAGGGAGGAAGATCTCCAGTTCAAGGCCAATTTGAGCTACACAGTGAGTTCTGCTTTGGCCTGGATTGTATGTGTAGTGAGACCTTGTTTCAAAGCCAGCCAACCACAGCCACCAAAGAACAATCTAATATGTATTATCAGAATTCCGAAAAACTGTAATTTGGACTGTGAGATTTAGAAAATAAAATTACAGGAGACTTAAATAAGAATTTCTCATGAACAAGAAATAATTAGTATAAGTATACAGTATGTAGGATATAGTTATACTAAAAAATAGTTTATCTGAAATTCAAATTTAATTGGGTATCCTGTATTTAATCCAGCAACCCTAACTGTAATATAACAGAAAATAAAGCATGTTGCATATAGACCTTGCTTCATGAAATAGTTGTTTTAGATATTTGTATGTTTGTGAATATCCTGGATGACAGTATACTTATAATTGTGATGACCAATACTAAACGCATTTAAAAGCCAGTTCTATCCTAGGTAATTAATTTTTTAAAAATTCCATTGAGATAGAATCTCACTTTCTAGTCTAGGCTTCAAACTTCACTGCAATCCTCCTGCATCAGTTTCCCAGATCTGGGGGTTATAGGTTTGAGCCACTAAGCCCAGTTTATTCTTGATAATTTTGTGGAGAAGTCTTTAATAGCTGTGGAAAAATGTTAAAGGTCTCCAGTTACATGATTGTGAATCACACCTACACTGTGATTGTAGTGTATTTTGTAATTTACTGTTCATTGTTACTGTGTACTCCAACAAATCCATTACTTTTCATGACTAGTCCTCTGACAGAACATGGAAAACCTAGGTTAGTCACGAATTAGGGTCTCAGTGTGGAGGCATGTACAAGAGAGACACTGACTGTAACAGTGTAAGTAACTGAACATGTACCTACCACAGACCTAACACTTCCACATTTTTCAAGGGATGTTCTTCAGTATGGCTTTTTGGAATAAGCTTGATTAAAAGACAAGCTCCAGAACTTAAAATCTGTAACAGCCACTTACCCTTTGACAGCTTCAAACAGAAACATAGCCATATATGTTTTAGATACTGGTTCTCACTGGGTGCAGGTTAGAAGTATAAATCATTCTAAGTGAGTGAAGTTTATTCAGATCCACAATAGCATAGTCAGAACAACGTGAGGCATTGTTCTGTGTGTCATGGATTTCCTAGTGTTAAAGTAGGCCTAAGTCATTTAGCTTTAGTATGGATATTAATTATATAAAAATTAGTTCATGAAATACCTAAAGAAATGTAAAAGGTAATCAAAACCCTTTCTCTCTTTTTCTTTAGCAACTTTTTAACTGTCAGTCTCTACATAAACTAAGTTTGCCAGACAATGATTTAACAACATTACCAGCATCCATTGCAAATCTTATTAATCTCAGGGAACTGGATGTCAGCAAAAATGGTAAGTCCTCCTGATTCTTGTCCTGTGATACATATTTCATTGTTAGAATTTCTAAAAGTATGTTGTGATGTATTAATTTCATCTACAATCTATTTTACATAAATACAATAACATTTTTCCATTTCAAAAGTTTCGTAACCTGTTTTATGTCAAATGCAATAAAATTTAGTGTCATATTCTTGGCTTATAATTGTTTATAAATATAAAATCTGTGATACCTCAAAACAACTGGAAAAGAAGTACATATTAAATATATCATTATAGTCCATCTTACAATGGGCCTGTCAAATATATTCCTCCTAACTGAAAGCTTTGACGTGGATCAGCATTTATCATCCTACTCCCTCCCTCTGCCTTGCTTCTGCTAACTGCCATTTCACTCTCTGCTTCTGGGAGCTTGCCCTTTTAATGTTCGGTATTGGAGATCACGGGATGTTCATCTTCTTATTCCTGATTTATTTTACTTAACATGATAGATAGCCTTTAGGTTCATCCATACTATTGCCAATGACTAGGTCTCCTCTTCTAATGACTGAAGAGTGTTTCACTGTACATACATACATATAATGTTTCCTTTACTGAGTCATTTATTCATGGAAGCTCAGGTCGATATCACATCTTAGCTGTTGTGAGTAATACTGCAGTGAGCATAGAAGTGCAGACCTTTCTTCCCTCTTTCCCTCAGAAGTTGGGTGGCTTGCAAACCATTTTCTCCCACTCAGACAACTGTATTTTCACTGTATCCTTGACTTGTTTGGTGTGCACAGCTTTCTAGTTTTATGTAACCAGTTTATTTTTGTATTTGTTGTCTATCTTTTTGGTGTCATTTTTACAAAACCATTTTCTAGGTGGCTTTTTTTTGTTTTTGTTTTTAATTTTTATTTTTTTTATTTTTTATTTTTTATTTTTATTTTTTTTGGTTTTTTCGAGACAGGGTTTCTCTGTGTAGCTTTGCGCCTTTCCTGGGACTCACTTGGTAGCCCAGGCTGGCCTCGAACTCACAGAGATCCGCCTGGCTCTGCCTCCCGAGTGCTGGGATTAAAGGCGTGCGCCACCACGCCCGGCCCTAATTTTTATTTTTTAAATTACACTCATGATATTCATTAATTACACTCATGATATTAATCCCATTTGTGGTATTCATAGATTACATTCGCAGTATTCATTCAATTATATATATTTTTACAAAACCATTTTCTAGGTGGCTTTTTTTTTTGATTATTTTATGATTTATTTTTATCTTATGTGCATTGGTGTTTGGCATGCTTGTATGTCTGTGTGAGTGTGTCAGATCCCCTGGAACTGGAGTTACAGTAATTGTGAGCTGCCATGTGAGTGCTGGGAATTGAACCCAGGTCCTCTGGAAGAGCAGCCAGTGCTCTTAACCACTGAGCCTTCTCACTAGCTCCTGCTGCTGCTGCTTCTGTTTCTCCTTCTTTTCTCCTCCTCCTCCTCCTCCTCCTCCTCCTTCTTCAGAAGTAGTTTTACAATATCTGGTCTTGTGCCTTGAATCCTTTGGTATACTGTGGGAGTCTCCCACTTTTTCCCCAGGGTACTCTTGAGGAGGGAGAAGTGAAAAATATTTAGATAGAAGGATAGAGGAGAGAGAGACAGATAGAAATATAGGATAGCCTTGGGAGGGCCTGGATCCTTATCCACCAGCCCCTTCTGTCTCTTCTAAAGGGCTAATTATAGGTGTGCCAAGAGGTGAACCAAAGACCTCTTCCAGCACAGCCAAGTGCAGACCCTTCCAATCACCTGGTAACCATGCACATGGTCAAGCAATCCTCTAATGCAGCCCTGCTGGGTAAAGCAAGCTCAGCTCTCACTAGGAAAACTTTGTGGGCCCCCACAGTCTACACAGGGACATCTGCTTTCCCTAGTCCCACCAAAGAGATTCTCCTTTCCTTGTGATGTGTGTAGGCAGATTTTTCTTTGCATTGCCAGCTCACAAAAAATGACACAAAAAGTTATTATTAATTATGAAAGCTCAGCATTAGCTTAGGCTTGTTTCTAACTAGCTGTTATTACTTAACCCATATTTTTTAATCTACGTTCTTCCACACACTCGTTACCTCATCTCCATTATACCTATCCTGGTTATTCTGCATCTGGCTGGCAACTCTGCTTTTCTTCATCCCAGAGCTCTCTCTGTCCAGAAGTCCCTGCTATATACCATTGCCTAGCTATTGGCCGTTTAGGTTTTTATTAAACCAATCACAGTGACATGTCTTTACAAAATGTAATCAGATATCTCGCAGCAGATGTGTTCTTGGTACCTTTGTTGTTTCTGACCTTCTGTTCTGTTCCATTGGCATTTTTCTGTTAAATCCGTACCATATTCTTTCGTTGTTAGAGCTTGCAGGTGAATTTTGAAGTTAAATGGTGTGAGGCCTGTGGCTTTGTTCCTTTTACTCAAGATTACTTTAGCTTCAGAGTCTTTTGTGCTCCTGTGCTAGGATTGTTTTCTTCTGTTTTTGTGAAAAATGTCATTAGAATTTTGATAGCACATTGGATCAACAGGACACTGGGTGGGTTGGACATTTTAACAGTTCTGTTCCTTCTCATCTGGAAACATGGGGTATCCTTTCCATTTATTTACACTTCTAGCTTCTTTCATCATAGCTTTGTTGTTTTCTGTGTAGTTGTTTTTGTTGTTGTTGTTATTAGCTATTATAAATGGGATTTTGCTTTAAAAGAAAAATTTTGGATAAATTATTGTTAGCATATAGAATTGTGACTTCTGTGTGTTCCATTTTAATGTTGACCCTTTTCATTTCTTTCTGTTGCCCACTTGGCTCTGGTTAGGATTTAGTACGGCTATGCATAGCTTAATGACCATATATTTACAAGTTTTTCTGAGAAATACAGCACAGGTCTTTTTTTTTTTTTTTTGGTAAATATCATAGAATATGGTCTTTTTAAAATCATCTTTTATATTTTGAAATTACATAATTTCCCCCCTCCAGCTTCCTCCCATGTAACCCTCCCCTTTCAAATTCATGGCCTCTTTTTTGGTTGTGAGCCTAGCCTTTAACGACTGAGCTATCCCTCCAGCCCATGGCCTCTTTTTTAAAAATTGTTCTTACCTAAATATAAATACAACCTCCTCAGCCTATATGTTATTTGTACGTATATGACTTCAGGGCTGAGCATTTAATATTAGATAACCAATTTGGGCTGCTCTTCCCTGAGGAAGACTATCTCTCCCACTCTCCATATTCCTTAGTTGCCTCTAAGCTTTTTGTGTATGTGTATTGGGGGAGATGGTATTGAGAAAGAGTCATTTTGCATAGCCCTGGCTGTCCTGGAACTCATTATGTAGACCAGACGGGTCAGTGAGACCAGACTCACAGAGATCTGCTGTCTCTGCCTCCCAAGTGCTAGGTGAAAGGCCTGTGCTACCACACCTGGTCCCTGTAGTTCCTTGTTTAGCGTTGAGGTCTTGTGGGTTCCCCCCTTTCGTGTTAGCATATCTGTTGGTGGTGGTGTTCAGGTCCTGTTTAGGCAGCCGTATTGAGGAAACTATGGGTGTAGCTTCTCTGACGTTCCTGGGAGTCAGAATCTCACAGCAAACTCCTGATCCTCGGGCTCTTACAGTCATTCCACCCCATCTTCTGAGATGAACCCCGAGCCTTAGGTGCGGGAGCTGTATTGTAGACGGATCAGTCAGTACTGGGCACCACATGATCCCCTTTTCTCTACATTTTGACTGGTTGTGGTTTACTGTAATGATCTCTGTTGCAAAGAAAAGCTACTTTTATGAGGGGTGAGAACTGTACTTATCTATATGCATAAGGATAAATATTTAGAGTGTAGTTTGAGCTCACGCTGGTTTATTAAAGTGGCAGGTGTAGGTTCAAGATCCATGACTTAACTAGCCCTGGGTAGTTGGCTGGCTTTCCGTTATCAGGCGATTTCCCTCTTGTTGAGTTGGTCTTAAGTCCGTGAGACAGTCCATACCACCAAGATATGAGTGCTGCTGTTGCACCCTTAGGGTCTTCTGCCATGCTGGTTGCTTATGTGGTCTCAATCTAATCAAGCAATGGTAGGCATAGGGTGTATGAGAATGTGACTTGGATTATAATACAGTAAATATTTCCTTAATAAGTAGGAAGGAGTTCTGTGCTCAGTCTTGCACTGCTCTGACAAGATACTTGAGAAAATAATGGGAGGAGCAGAGATTCTTATTGACTCACAGTTCTGCAGTTTGAGATGTATAGATGTACATGGCTTCTGGCCTCATTGCTCTCAGCTGGTGGCACAGTGCATCATAGCAGGAACATGTGTTGGGGTCCAGTCATCCCACGGCAGCCAGCAAGAAAGCAGAGGATGGAGGACTGGTGTTAGAGTATTTCTTCAAGATGTGCCCTGACCCCCGGACTTCCTTTTACTGTGCCCTGTCTATCTGAAGGGTCCACTATCTCCTAACAGCCTTAGAGACTGTCTGTCAGTAAAACCATTGGAAATATTTAAGGCCCAAATCATAACAAGTATTCTTGAAAATTGTTACAAAAAGTAATAGTATATAACAGTAAGTGTATAAACCAGGAACGCTAATTTGGCAGTTTGTGCCGTTTGTAATTGTCAGGCTAGAGTTTTATCTGACTGACAGCACAGGTTTGTTGACACCAGTATCACCACATACACCTGAGTAACATTGTACTTGGACACTGGCGCCTACTGCAGCATTTGACAGTCGGGATTGTTCAACTACATGGAATAGATTGCTGTTGCTTGTGTGATTGATAGTTGACGGAAACGTTTCATGGTGAGTGGCTGCACTATGCTGAATGGACATAGTTACAGTAGGGATTTTTGTCTTGTTCCTAATTGTAGAAGGAAAGCCTTGAACTTTAGTTGTTGAATATGATGTTAGTTGTGAATTTATATTAGGTCTTTATTATGTGGAGAAATAGAACTATTGCTAATTTGTGTGACTTTTTAAGAAGTTATTAAAAGATGTTAATTTTTTTGCATTTTAAAGATTTTCTTTCCAC